AGTAAGCAAATGTTTATGGCCCACTTCACAGCTGAAAAAGCTGGAAGCTAGTTCTGTTACATTATTCATAAGGCTGCTGCTGCATGATGCTTTCCTTGGTTGTATTTACTCCTTACACTTTTTAGTATCCTTGTCCAAGATAGTCCTGTGGCCTTGTAACATCTAAGAAGTGCATTGTCTGCTCCTAGTTTGGAGCACATGGTTCTGTTTCCCTTTTTAGGGTGTTAAAGCCAGTTTTGTAAGTGGTGCTGCCCTGAGTAAGAAGCTGTGGGTTTTGCATTGTCCATTTTGATGACTACAGGCAGGTTCTGGGACTTGCTACGCAGAGGACTTGCATATGGAGGATTCTAACTGAAGTACTCGGGGACATTTTTGCTAAATCCTGAACATCTTGTATTGTCTATCAGTGAAAGAATTTAAGCCAGCTAAATTGCCCTGCCAGGTGATTGCTAGAGGCCACAAATCAGAAAGCAGATACTTCATCCCAATAAAGAATTTTTAGTGCATCACAGATGTAGTCTGGCTAGAGAAGCTGATCTTCTGTAGGTGAAAGGGAGTATGTAGCTGCAGCATTGGTGAGCATTGTGGTGCTAATCTGAGTGAAAAATGGCTGAAATATGTACCTTTGCCAGAAGTAGTGCCTTCTCACTATTCTGCTCTTAGGCGCTTGAATCTATCTCAAAACCAATCTTTTCCCTCCATCTTTAATTCTTCCTTTCTAAATAAAAAGGTAATTCAGTAGAAAAATGCATTTAGGTTGTATCAGGGGTATGTGTAACAATCTAAATTGATGCTGAATAAGCTAATTAAATTATTTTGTTTCCTAATATAGAGTGGTTTACTTTAGCTATATAAGTTTTGCTTGCAAAGGAAATACGAAAACTTACCATGTGATACCATGACATTGCACATCTTCCTACCTTCTCTGAAGACTACGGATTTTATTTTCTCTTTGTTCTTTCTCTGTCTCTCACTGATTCTTCAACATTGAGGGTTTTTAAAGGAAGCTTGGGATTAGCAACAGCAAATATTGTAGTAGTTAGGGTATTCTCCTTAAACAAGGGAGAGCAGATGCAAGTTGCCTCAGGTTGAGGAGGGCTTTGAGCCACTGCCTCAAGGACTCTGAGATGCAACAGCCACTAGCTCTTGCTTCCTTCCAGCAGGTACCTATCTGCAAAAGAGTCCTTTGCCAATACTTTCTTTGGCTGGATCAAGGTGCTTTCCTGATCAGGAACTCTAAGGGACCTTATAGATGGTAGAGAAGCAGAACTCTTCTTAAACCCTTCACTTCAGAGCTTCCTGTTTCTCTTCATTTTCTGTACAGAGTTGGAAAACTCTTCGGACTTTACATGGTATGATTTATTAGCCTGGGTCAGGTACCTGCTTTAAGTGTTGCAGCCTTTGAGTTAGTATCTCAGTTAAGTGATCTGAAATGTCTCAAAAATGTCTTGGTATAGAACATCTAAGCATAGTTATCTGCCTTCTGGAGATGGAATATTGTTAAATTTTACCAAAAAGCTTTATAATCTGTGCTTATCACTTGCCACTAGTGACTTTCAGGGGCTATAGTGCCGTCTATATTCATGGATTTCCACAAGGAAAGCAAAGAAAAATCATTTAATCCTGGGACAACCCCACTGACAGGAGATGACTTAATTGGTTTTGAGGCTTTTTTTGGTAAATGCCAAAACAGTATTTATTTGTGCATCACTTCAGTAATATAAAAATATTATCATTTTAAGTAAATAGTTACTATGTACACACATTATAGAAACTTCCTACAAACCAAGTATTGCTATGCTTTTATTTTTCTGATATTTCCACTTCATCATCTTTCTGAGATTAGTTTGCAACAAAGTGAAAGAAACCATCTTTAGGTCATATGATACCTAACATGTAACTCAGTTCTATCATGATTTTAAAAGGGGGAAAAAAAAAAAGTCAGTGAGGTGACTGGAAAATTTTAACTTCTTGGTTTTGAGGAAATTGGGGGATTTTTACTACACTACTGAATATTGCAAAATGGGTACTGACAGTAATGATACTATCAGGTCTAGACCCTGTGCACTACAGATGAGCAGAGTTATTTGCCCGAATTTTTATAGGCCTGGTCCAATGACATAAAATGGCATTAATCTTTGTAATTGAGTCATTTAAATCTTACACCACTCATTTAAATATATGTTGTGTTTAGCAACTTGTATGCTTTTTTACAGAGGCATTTGGTCAGTCTAAAAAGAGGTTTTGTTATCATAGAATATGGGGTGGGGAAGAAGAGGACAGCACTTGGTGTGTCAAGATGCATACAAAATAAGCTACAACTCTTAAGACTATGAACAATAATGGAAGGAAAAATATTATGTAAATCTGTTATATCTACAAACCAGGTGGATGCAGCTTTCATGATAACTAGCAGATCATCCAGAACCCAGATCACAGTGGTAATGGTGGATACGAATTAGCTGTTGAGAAAACAAGAATATTTTCCAGTGATTTTTTAGTATATTTGCTGTTGACAACTTTTTGCTATGTAAAGCAGAGGAGCCATCTATAGGAGAAGAGACTCTGTATGTGATTCAAAATGGGGAAGTTACTGAAAACGTGAAAGTTGAAGAAACTTGGAGTAAATGTGACTTAAGTGAGAGTTTATGGTCCCTAGTAGCAAAAGGAGGGAAGAATGCTAAAGTAAAAACAATGGATTTTGTGAAAGAAGGCTACAGTAAATACAGAATGAGTAGATAAGATCTCTTTAGTCAAGCCTCAAGGGGAAAAGGAATTAAGGAGCAGTGATGCTTTGTCAGAGATAATACTAAAGCACAAACAATGCTAACGCAGAGATTTAGACTTTTATTAAACTGTAAATTCTTCATTGACCTCTGAGACTTTCTCAGTTTGCTGAGGAACGGAATAAAAGATTTGTATGAGAAAAGGACAAAGTTGGGTAGGGAGCAGGGAATGGGAACATGTGGATTAACTGCATTTCATTTTTAAGCAAGATGCATCAAGTTAGTACGCACACGCACAGACATCCAAAAATGTTCTGTCACACAGTAAAAGAAGAGCCAAAAAAAGTGTTTATCATTTATAACCCTTTCCTCCAATGACAAGAAAATGATACTGAGGTTCTAGAGCTTTTAATCTATTTTTTTGTGCAAGTTTTTGCGAAGAAGAGTCAGCATAGGTAGCAAGCACAGTACTAATGCTGAAACAGCATTCTGCCATCTGTCTGTGTATGCAAATTAGTTGTTTCTGAAAATTAAATAGTATTATGAAATGTAAATAAATATCACCAACTCTGTGGCCAGTTTATGGAATACAGTAGGTAGATTTTAATTTGAAAGTGTTAAATACATATAATTGGGAGTTACTTTTAATATTAAAAATATTTAGATGTTCCCTAATTTCTCAGTGTAAAAAACTTGGTTTCTGAGATCTCTTCTTTTGGAGTTAATGCTCTTGACAATCTGACTGGTAATGTTTCAGCCCAATACATACCTGCTTTGGTTGGCAATACCAGAAGTTTATTTTTTAAATTACATGCTACATTCTTCTGACCTATCTGCAATAAAACCAGAAACCAGCAATTGTTTATGCTTAATTTAGTGTGGTAATATGTATACTATGCCATTTAGAGAATCAAGCTTTATATGTTTAATCAAGAATTTGTACCCAATATGATAGCATATGTAGGTAACATGTAACTAATATAATGCTTTATTTTAGGCAAACATAACTGTCTGCTTCTGCAGGAAGAATTATTACTAGCATAAAGTCAACAGCATATTCAAGGATGATTCGTCCTAGTCTAATTTAGCCTGTGCTGGCATAGATACCTGGTTATAATACAAACTTCTTCGGGCAGCTATCAAATCATTTTGATTATCAAATAAATAAAATTTTATCTATGTTATAAAACAGGAATTATACTATAATTGGGGGAGCTGAATGAAAGAGCCAGTAATGGTACTTTCTAGCTTCTGCTCTCTTCCATGCAACTCTTGGGCAGCACAGTGGTTTGTTCTGTAATACAGACAGTTGGGGGGGGTAAAATGCCAATTAGAGAAGGCAGTGATATTTTTGAGCACTGAATGTGGATTTCACTGTGGTGGGTCCATGTGAGAATGCCAGAGTATGGTATAAAACCAGTAAAAGGTCACTGCCTACTTTTTTTTCCCCTACCCATTATTTGGAGCATATTTCAGATGCTCTTCTCATCTCAAGACTCTGAAATAAATTTTCATTTTTTGTTTGTTTTAGTTCATTTCATGACAGTTATGTCAGTTGCTTTAGCTGGTTCCCATCATTTGAATGAAAGGATCAAAGTACTTGCATCCTCCGGGACAAGTATAAATAAAGAGAATTGAAATATTCTTAGAAAATATTCTTGTCATACTGGGAATTGTTTGCTAACTTAGCTTTTCCAAGAGATGAAGCTAAGTGAGAAAAAGCTGGTGCCAACTCAGCCTTCTGAGTAACTGAAATATTGCTAGAGACTTAAGCAAATTATTCTTAGCAAAACAAAATTACTTCAGGACTATTGCATGTATTATATGTGTGACATATTACATGCAGTCCAGCTCTTTTAGGAGATCAGGTATTAAGAATACAACTTTATTAGTATGTTTTAGGATGCTCAACATCTTAAGCATGATCTGTGTAAAATTCATATGGCTTATAGCCAGGCAAGATGGATATGCCTTAACTGTGTTGACACCAAGCTGTGATAGCTGTAGGAAAAAAAACCTTGCAACTAACAAAGAAGAGTGGCACTTTCATTAAGTTTCATTTTTAACGCAGTTTTTTTCTTGGAATTAATTTTAACTAAAAGTTTCTGTTTGAGATGATAGAAATCTCAGCTTTCTCCATACCAATATTTCCTGCTTTTCGTTCTGTTAAATGTTAAACTCTATAACACCAATTAAATTAAGTATAAGTAAATGTTTAATCTTTCTGTGAACTTTGAATGGTATACTAGTGGTTTCTCTTTTTCTTTGAATTAGATGGAGAGCAGAAGACTCAAGTGATGATTCATGGAATTGAGCCAATGCTGGAAACACCCATACAGTGGCTAAGCGAACATATGAGCTATCCAGATAATTTTCTCCACATTAGTATCATTCCCCGACCTACTGATTGAAACTCAGCCATATTGGTACGCGGATCAGTCTCAAGCTGGAATTATAAGGGCATGTCAACTTCTTGCTTCTGTCAGTCTTGCCAGAGGCAGCCTGACCAGAAAAAAAAAAAAACACCAACAAAAAAACGAAACAAAACAAGAAGTCCTCACTGCTGCAAGCCAAACAGGAAGAGAGATCCTATCATCAGATAAGGGCAATAGGGCTGATCTTATTTTGCATCACCGCTGCTTTTCTTCACCGCTGTAATTAAATCAGTTGCGATATGAAAGAATTTACAGGACCTCTGCAAGTCTGCTGTTTTCTTGTAAAATATAATGAAGCTGAAACTGTCAGCCGAAGAGCAAATGGAAATATGCCACTTGATTGTATTTCTGATTAACAAATAAACAGGGCTGTTTCCTAAAGCGGTAGTGTTTCAACTTTGAGAGTGGAAACATTGGTTTAATTTTCTAGAAAGTTAGACACTGAGAGATTCAGTTACCAATAGCTTTTTGTAAAAGATCAAATTACTGTAAACCCCTCTTTCCTTAATGAGAAGTTCATGTTTACAGTATGTGTATTGGTATGCAAATGATCTTTTAACTTTGATAACAAGCAGTGAGAGATTTTAAAGTAAACCCGTGAGCATGTTTTGTCATTTAAAAACATGCACAACTTAATAATTTACAAATACTGCTGATTTGTATGCTGTCATGAATACTCCAGTATGTTTATTATTCAAACCAGTTTTCATAGACTAGCAATGATGTAGGATAATTTGTCTCAGGATTTGTCATGGCATTTCTTTGTGCTCATCTAAATTTTTTTTTCTGTAAGAATATTTTCTTAATTTAGTTTAAAAAGTTTTTTTTTAAAAAAAAGTAAACAGATGTTGCAAACGATTGTATCCTGCTGTTTATTCCCATAGACTAGAAAACAGTTAAATCGTAGAATGATGAACAGATGTATTGCTTTTTAAAAATTGTGAATTTTGGAAAGCTGAGGCTTTTCCAAGCTAGTGCTTCCTTACATCTGAGTTTAGTTTTCTACTGTGGTCCCTGAGCAGTCAGTCTGAAATTTGGAAGCTTCTAATCTCATTGCACAGATTTTTTTCCTTAGTTTAGCAGATGTATTTTTAGGTTATTGGATTGCTTCAGTTCCTAAATGTTTGTTACCATTGCAGCTGCTACTAGGAGTCTACCATTTTTTTGTGTTATGCCGAATTCATCAAACTGTGTGCTATATTGCTTTGTCTGCAGTTTGTGGCTGTTCGTGGCACAAGATTATGTTTATAGTGGACATATTATCAAATATGTCAAATATTATCCAATATAAAGAAAGCATGACATTTTTCTTTCAAAAATAGTAGCTGTTGAAGTTCCTACTCAGTCTTGGCTTGCAAATGTCCTGGTACTTCTCAGTGCTGTTCCCGTTCTGCTCTGTTTCCGTGCTCCCTTTATGGTAGGATACTTACCTGTATCTGAAGAAGAATAAAATGAAAATCAAACAAACAAAAACCTCTTTAAGAAGCAAGAGGGGGAGGATCTCCTTGGGTGAGGATAGAATTGAGGCTAAAAAAACCCCTAAGGGCAGAAAAAGTCAGTAGACAAATTAGGTAATGTTTTAAATGAAAATGAGGAAATAACATTAAGGAAAAGGAAGGGGAAAAGTAATAGTGAAATAAACCTATGCTGTATTCTGTGGGTCATGAAGAATTTTTAAAACAAAACAAACCATGCTGATCTGTGTTTATGCAGAATTGAAATACAATATTCTTATAGTGGGATGATTTGGTTGAGTTATTCTAATTTCCAGTCCTGTTTGGAATTTTTGTTACAGTGTTGGATTGGCATTTATAAACTTTCTTAGGCAGACACATCTAAATACTCTGGAGAATTTTAAAGTCCTAACAATGGATAAAGCAAATTTTTTTTGTAGACTCTTCATATTTAAAAAAAAAAAGTCTTTTGTAGGGATAATTTTTCCATTAATCAGGATAAGAGGCAGTACATTTAAAAAACTGTAAAGATTGTGTTTCCTTTGTTTTAAGGTAAGCTGGAGTAATTCACTGGCTATTATAATATATTCTACACCAGCATTTTAAGTATACAGCTCTTCTCATGGCCCATATTTGCTAGTAAATCCAACTTTTAAGGCCTGGCATGGAACAAAGAAATAGCTTGGCTTTAAAACATACTCTTGCCTCTTATTTTAACTATTTAAACTTTATTAAAAAATAAAACAAAGTTTGAGTCTGTCTTTATTTCCAGCTAAATAAGGATCTTTGTCATGGAGTGACAAAAACATTTATTAATACTTAATAAGTAGGAGCTTCTTAAAGAGTGGTTGGGTGATGTATCTAAACAAAAGCACATCATCACAAAAATGAAGTGGTGTCTTAGCTTTACCTGATTTAAATCACATTTTGGTAGTTTTTTTTACTTAGTGTGTGAATAACAATAGCAACAGAAGGTGCATTGTGGCTTAATTAAATACCTTTCTTCACTTTGAAATGCTGTGACTTCTGGAAAAAACAGATTTGGTCAGAATCTAACATAGTGCTCACTAAATTAATTTCAATGCTAAGGAAAAGTGCCAAATACACATACACTTCTCTGCATTTAGAATTTTAAGTGTATCAGGTGAGCAAGTTAAGTTTAAGTTCATAGTTTAAAAAAGAGCAAAACCCAGAGCCTGTTGCTGTCTTCACTGTATTTCATGTTGTTTGGCAAGGCTACCTCCATTTTTGAGTGTTCGGTGAACAAAGAGTGAATTTTTCTAGTGATTTCTGTGATAACCACTGCCTGTCACTCTGCCTACTGTCAGTCAGCAGACAAGATGATGCCTTTTCATTAAGAGCTAGAAATTGGTTATTTTAGGTTTAAATTAATTTCCATGAATTCTTTGGCCAAAAAAAAAAAAGGGAGCATAATAAAATAAATTTGTACTGGTAAAGTCAGATGACATTGCTGCTACTGGGAAGAATGTGAACTTAACATCTGAAGGCCTGGTAACCCTGAAAAATGGAGAATGGGAAAAGATGTTGAACTGAATATACAGAAGGAGAAGGATTTCTGCTGGGAAATTATTAGAGCTTGTACAATGGTGTGTTACGCTGCTAAAGCATCTGCAATCCTAGGTTTCCATTAGGTACAGAAAATTCAGAAAAGGTGGGGGGAACTGTTTGCCTGTAGGGGCGGTGGTTCTTACGTGGCATATTGTGGGGTGTTCTGACTGCTCCTGTGTGGAAAGGAGAGATTCGGGCTGGTATAGGGACTGTGCTGCCTTAGTGGCAGAAATGCAGATACTGCTGGGAATATGTATTGGTGTGATTGGGAAATCTTGCAGGAATGTGAAGAAATACTAAATCTTACGGACAGATCAGGAACAGGAACGTGCACTATGAACTAGCCATTAATAAATGTATGGAAAGGAGAACTATTGAGCCACTTCACACCAAGTCACTTCTCCACTAAGAGTTTTGGGAGCTGTGGAGGAAGCCAATGTGAAGGTTAAGTTATGGAAAGGAGGAGAACTGGTTGCCTGTGATAGCAGTCGTTGGACTCGGTGACTGGGAAAGTCCTTTTAGTTCTGTGTTCCTGCGTGTTTGCTCTGACAGCCGGATACCTGTCAGCTCATGAAGACTTGATCATTACTTCCAGTATTATTTATATCCTGCATAATAATTATGGCCTTTTTTTTTTATTGTTTCCTTACATGGTGAAGGATGTCTGAGTGACAACTCCCATGTTTATGGCACTGATGATAGCTGGTGTTTTTTCAGTTTCGATATTTAGGAGAATCTGCATCTTAGCTGTACAAGTGTATTAGCACACTCTTAGAAGACTTCTAGGGCTAAAACGTGACTCCTTAATTCAGAAAATGTTTTAAGCAAATGTCACAGCTTGCCAGTGATAATTTACCAAATCAAGTGGCTGGACAAGAAAAAGATTAAATCCCTTTCATAGGTACTTTCCAAATTGAACATTTTTAAGTGTAATGATTTTAAACTCTCTGAAGAACCTAGATGTTCGTTTGCTTGCAAATGCAGCAGTAGCTTACAGAATGTATTTATTCATATGCTACCATATGTAAATGCTAAAACTGATTACATACTTGTCCAAGTCTAATATTAATATTGATGATTATTGGATTATGCCAGAAAGAGAACTGCGTCAGTGATTGTGAGGTCTCCTGTGAGTGCTGTTGTTGTGGTGCTGCAAATGGATGAAACGTGAAGTTTGAGTGTATCTCTGGCAAGTACCACCACTTTTTCCAACTTCAGCCTTCCAGCAAAACCAAAATTACTTTGTCTTTACTGAGAAAATAATGTTATTTTCTTGACATGACAAAAGTGTATTTCAGGGGAATATATTACCACCCCACCCCCAATATTTTTGATTCAAAATTTGTGGCTGTATCAGAAGAATAAGGCTTTTGGAAAGTGACTTTAGCCATTGATTTTAGCAGTCCCTGTTTATTTGGACACGAAAGAGATTCCTGAAGTGATTTTTTTTTTTCTTTCCTTAGGATGAGAAAGGGTATGCACAGAGGTTCTTAGCATATCGCATATAGAATGGATTTCTGAATTAAAGCAGGTAGGTGTCTATTCTGCATTAAAACTTCTGGTTTTGAGACAGGGATGGTGACATTTCAAAATGTCACACTAAACCTGAGTAATATCTCTTGCGAGAGGTAAAAAGATGTGAAGTTTCAAATGCTCAGAAGTAGATTTCAGATTTCTGTACTTTCAAGTTATACTATCAAATCAGCTTGTGGAAGAGAAGTTTAAAATGAGAGAGATGTTTTCTTTCCTTCCCTTGCCTTTCATGTCTCCACGATTCAAGTAATTAAGTTCTTTTAACTGTGAAATGAAACACCAGTTTCTCTAAACAATAGATTAAAGAACACAAAAGAATACAAAACTTCTTTCAAACTATGCAAACAGGTACACGAAGAGTTGTTTTGTGTAGTTCAGGTTTTTAAATGCGTATGAAATAACTAGCAATTATATGAAATTTAAAGGGATGTTTTTCCACGTGGTTTTAATAGTATTTATATGGATAAAAACCACCCAGGGTAGAGAGGGAGGCAGTCAAACACCGTGTTAAGGTTGGAGGATCTTGACTTTACTGCACTCGAAACTGCCGAAATGCGTCAGATGTTAAAATAGCACTTTCCACTGAAGATGTTTAAAGCCTTAATCCTTGCATCGTTTCTCTAATATAGGTCAACAGATACAATAGAATGAATACGTTGTGGGAACAAATGTGTGATCTAGTTACTAATACACATTATATTCTTATCTTAGCATTCACAGTAATCGTGAGTATTGTACAGTGGAAAGGGTAAAGCCGATACGTGACATAGTTTGCATCTGCCAGAATTTGGAGGATTGCTTGCTAGACTTTGTCAAATGCATTTTACAAGTTCACGTGCACATCTTAAAAGCTACTAGAAGTTAGGTCTTCCTTCAAGGAAAACCAGGCTGGGGGCGGCGGGGGGACACGATCAGTAGTGTTGTTCACTAAACCTCTCCCTCCACCCCGTCTGCCCCTTTTAGTTGTCCTTAACATATACAGGAGGTAATTCTAGGAGAGAAACAGCGTATTGTTGTTCGCTTTGTAATTAATTTTGTAAACGCTGACGAAAGCCTCACCTGCTTCGGTTGAAAGGCGTGCAGAGAGAGGGCGCATGCGAAAGCTGATGAGGTCTTATTTCATACAGATAATGTATATAATTTTTCCTTGTGTAGATTTTTTGTTGCTTAGGGTCAGTAGTGTCCCAACTGCCGTAAAAGAGACAACTTGTAATTCTTTCAAGCTAGACAGAGGCACTCACAAGTATTTTCATTGCTACAGAACTAAAGATCAGAATGGAAACTATCTGGCTGAAAGTT